CCGGAACAACCATTCTCGATTGCAAGCGCTTCTCTAAAAGTGTCGGTATATGCTTTTTTTTGCAGTCTATGAGCACACGTTTCTGCATTTTCAAGGGTACACTTGGTAAAGTATACGTTAATATAAATAAACCCAAAGGAGGAATAATCGAGTTTCATTTCGACTTTCCAAAATTATGATTATATCGTCATTCGATTCGGAAAATGATGTAGAAAGTTTAAGGAAAGGTTCCAAGGGGCTGAAAAAAATTGCAAAAGTTATAAACAATTAAGTGAAAAAAGAAATAAGGGTTTTGTTTTATTTTTGAATATCTCTGTTTTTATCTTAGGATCGATTATAGAGAAAAAATATTTATAACAAATTTTTTATTAAATAAACAAATAAAAAAATAAGAAAAAATTGTTTTTTGTATGAATCTAAAAGAGTCATGGAAATTATGATTTTTAGATAAAAAACGGTTCCTTAATTTTTAAATTTACTGACAAAAAACGATTGTTAATTAAGAAATGCATTTTTTAGCAACAAATAAATTTTTTTAAGCAACCATTTTTTCTCTAAAAATCATAATTTGTATCAATAAATAGATGACCAAAAAATTTTTCAATGTACAATGTACAATGCATTTGTTTATAACAATTTCTTATACAATGATAGTAAAAAAATGAAAAAAAAAATTATATACCATTAAACTATCAGAAATCACAACATTACAGATGTCAACAAAAAAATATTTTTTCAAAAACTTTTTTTTATTTTTTAATTTTCGATGGTTAATGAAAAAATTAAAAATCGAGATTTTAAATTTTTTCCAATTGTGATCTCCTTGTAAGCCTAATACCAATAACTCCACGAAGTGAAAAAATTCGTAAGGCTTTTGTTTAATAATTATCGTGGTTTTTATCTTTGAATTTGAAAAAATTCCTTAATTAACAAATCCATAATTTATGAACAAATTGGAATAAACATTTTTTTGTAGCGGATTATTGTTAATTTGTGTATCCCAATGCTACATTAATTTTTTTATTCCTTAATATTCATATTTAATATGTTTAAATGAGCCAGACCACCGGGTTTTCGCTCATTTTTCAGGGCTCCATAAAAATTATAAACATTGGAGGTACAATTCCGGGAGTCGAAATTTTTTTTAGCGAATTTGCTAATCTTTTCAGATCTTTTTTAACATTTCGAGAATTTTCATTATTTTTCGAGATATTAAAAAAAAAAAACAAAGCCCATATTTCTTTTTTCACTTAATTGTTTATAACTTTTGCAATTTTTTCAGTCCTTTTTGGAACCATTCATTAAATTTTCTACATAATTTTACTAATCGAATGACATCATAATCATAATTTTCGGAGACTATATGCTATAGATGCGATAGAGTTTAATCTGCACCGCTTCGTCTTTAAGCGGTATCAGTCCTGCCCGTTTACTGAAGAAATACTGCGTAGCAACATGTCGAATAATGTAGTTCTTATCACTTTTGAACCCATAGTCTTTAAGGAGAGGAAATTAGAATTAACGGTGAAATAGTCTCTTGCAATTTCCACAACAAATTATACAAAATTCATCAGAAAAGCACTGTGTGCCTACGAGTCTTCCTATAGTGAATGCATGTGAATGCGTATTTCAGGTTAAATAATCTAGAAATCATTCAAGTTTTGAAAAAAGCACACATAAAAATTGTAGTAACAAAAAACTTTTATGGTAGATCTATTTTATATATAACTAAACCCATTTATTTCGTATTTACATGACCTAAACATATTTAATTATTAATATTATTATTATTTGCAAGATTTGAGATTAAAAGAGCTAATTAGGTCGTTAAATACTACATCATGAATCGAATTGTCATTATAATTAGAGTTGGGTCTAAAACCTTATTCTCTGTCCATCCAATAACTGATAGAAGATATGAAGCGGAAAACAAATATGTGGTGGAAGAAAAGTTGATTTTTCAAAGAGTAATATTTGCAAATCTTGTGTGTTTTCCTTCCAATCTACCCAGAAAGAAACCGGTGTATTTGAAAATTGTAAGAAAAGTTACCCCTAAGCGCCGCCTAGTATTCCGCCAGAAACATATATTTGTAATATAATATTTTCTCAACCTTATGAAGTTCTTGAAACCGCAAACACAATTAATCATATTCTTTCCGCCTTTATCGCATATACCGGCAGAAACCAGTAGACAAAATATTAGAATGGTAGATCGTAGATCAACGTTAAGGTATAACGAATGTAATTACAATGCTTGGCGGGTACTCGTCTGATAAACTCTGTAAAAACACACCCGAAAATGCTCATTATACTCGAACCAATGGGTACAAATTTACCCTTAGCAATTATCAGCGATAAAAACGAGCATGTGCATTTACGTTTTTACTAGATGATACCTCTGAACTTTAAAAATCATAGATGTAGGCTGGCGTTGACTATTTCCCTTACTTAAAAAATATTTAAACAAACTACCCAATATCTAGGGTTCGTTCCTTCCTTTATTGATACAACGGAACTTTTCTGGGATTGTCCTTTGGTCGATAATGAATGCACCAGTTTGTTGACGGCCACCAAGACACTAATTCCTCTTGCTGTTAGTTTTTTTTTGTATTTGGTAGCTCCGCAGGTATCTACGCATTAAGATAGTTTCTCTGAAATTTAAAAACCCATACATTATTATTTACATTAAAAGTATTTTTTTAAAAATAGAATCAATAGAGCAGATGTTTTGTTAAAAAAACTGAATTATTGTTATTATTATTATTGTGATCGTTTTCGCTTGGTCTTTTTAAGCCTAACCAAAAATGCTTTGGCAACTTTGAGATCTTCTTGAACAACATAGCAAGAGAGCAAACAATAAAGGGTGCTTTCAATACTAGTGACTGTTGCCATAGTTTTTATTCATACGTAAATTCAATTATCAAAAAGTGATACCACCAATAAAATAGAATTTTTCGAAAGTATCCGCGCTTGGCAACGAAACCCATATGTCGGCAACGGGAGGTCCTATGGGACCACCATTGGTCCACAAATGATCAGGGTCGAAAAAAATTTTTTTTTATTTTGTCTGTTCTCCGTTCTGAATCCTCTGCCGACGCTCCACAAAAATCCGAATGATTTCGGAAACGTTAGAGCTAGGATACTGAAAGTACTCTTTTTTAAACAAGCCACGAGTTACATAAAACATAAAAATTGACGTCTTTTTTTCGAAATTTTCGTCAGTTTTTTGGAAGTCGCTATGAAACACGATAACAGCGTGAAATTTCAAACTATCGACTTGAAATTTTGCCAAATCATAGAGTCTGGTGCACTGACGGAACCTATTGAAATTGAGGGAGATTTTAAAAAATTTAAAAAACCTTTTTTTTTTCAAAAATTAAAAAAATATATATTTTTCGAGCACTCTTTTTCTAATTGAAAAAATGCATGATTGAAATTTCTATTCTTGATTAGTTTTAAAAAATATACCGGGTGTGCCAGTATTTGCAAAAAACTGAAAATTGATGTGCCTTTGGAAGGAAAATTGACTATAGGTTAAATGCTATAAGCCAGTCGACGGATTTGTTTACATTGAGTTTTAGGCCGTAGAGAGAGCTAAAACTCCCGTATTTAAGGTTTACACATGTCGTACAGGGTGTTCGAGACATATCGCATTATGTTGAATAATGCACCACGTGCTCGAAATATGCAGTTATTGACTTCAAATTTGGCAGGGTGGTAGAAAGCTACCTCCGCATGCAAATGATAAAAACTATGTCCAACGGGCGATTGGCAAATATTTTTTTGAAAACTTTTTTGCCGTCATATATGTATAAAAATTTTATTTTTTTGTAAAAAGTATTACAGTAGCCTGTGTAAGTTTCTTTGAAAAATTAACAAGCCTTTATGGAGAGGACATCAAGCGCAAATGCAGAAAGTTAGAAGATCACCTATTGAAACTGGTAAGATTACTCTGACCTTTACTGACCTTTTTGTTACGTTGTAGCGACCATAAAGTTATCCCCAATTTTCTTAAAATATCCCATCACGTCACAACCTCACATCACAACCATAAAATTCTTCGAAAATCTAGTTTCGCTTTACTTCAAGAAAGAATTCATCATACCCGTAAAGAAATAGACTAAATCAATAAGGCTCTTCTGTCTCTACACTTTGAAATTTCTTCTATTTTGTCCCCATCCAAGTTCGATACCCTTTCAAACATGATTCATGACAAAGCTTTAAATCTTCATTTATCTACTACCCAAAATCAATTTTTGTATTTACGGTTTTCGTCTATCATATACGCCGTTCGAGATATTCGAAAAAATACAAATTAAAATCACCATTTGTCGCTCCCAATCTAGACGCGATGACGTCATTTACTATTACCACGTACTGTATGGTTTCAGAAAACAAGTAATTTCTTGGAGACCACTTCCTGTATTGGAAAAAATAATATACCAGGAAACGTGGGAGATGCAGAGCTATAACCTCTATTTCGAACATTGTTTGAATTATATACAGAGTCTGTCGTTAATGGGCAAAAAAATCTAAAACATCCTAAAAATTTCCGTTTTTGTGAGTAAATTATTGGCAATAAATGAAAAAATATTAAAGATGTGACCGTTTGGTTTGAGCAGTATCGTAAACTGTATCGAGAGAGAGTTTCAAGTTTCGTCAATTATACAGGGCGTTCGAGATATTTGAAAAAATATCATTCGCCAACGCTATTTTTGTACAAATTTTAATATTTAACAAAATTTGTCGTAGCTTTGAACGGCGAGACCCGAAATGCACTTTATACAGGGTGTGCGCACAATAAAATTACACCGATTTTGCGAAAGTTCCATTGTGGTCCGCAGGAACACGATAGAAAAGCAATGCGTTGCTCTAGGACAAGAAATCGAATCTGCTTCACGCTACGCGCTACGAACTTGCTTTGTATGGCTTACAAATATACAAATGAAAACTACACTCCAAATGACAACCCAGAACTACTACTACTTAAATTATTAAACTATTCTGACAATCATTTATTAACACGTTTATATTTTACATAACGAACTAGGAATTCAGATATCCTGCAAACGGTCTTCTGAATAAAGTTTCTTCGAATCTTCTAACTCCCTTTTTAAGAACGATAAGTTCGTCTTGATTATTGGTAAGGGCGAGGACTCTGTCGCTATCGCACCCGGTACCAATGGTACCATCGGCCGATAAGATAAATCTCTGATTTCTTGCATTGGAGTTCGGACGGTACATCGATATTCTGTTTCCGTGGCATCCACCTCGAATATCAAGGGCGTTTCTGAAACAGGACGACGTGTTAAGATATCATTAACGTGAAACATAAATATTGCATTTTCTTTTTGTTTGCCCAACTTTGAAAAAAAAGCAAAAAGAATTAGCCCAAAAGGCCCAGTAGGAACGCGTAGATTTGATTTTTGAAAAATGCATGTGATTCAAAAAATGAATGTAACAAAATGCTTTATAATAAATATATATTCTTAAAGCACTACAGAACATCTAAAAATATGAAATTACTATTGTTATTTTGCTCAAAACATTGTTTCTAGACAGTCAAACCTTCAAACTTCAAATTTTTGGTTTTTACCGGTAATTATTATCTTAACTTTTCTAGCCTGTGAATAAAATGAAAACGTCCATGTTAATAGCATCATATAGAGTTAAACCCATCATCATAAAGTGTATTGTTGTGTCTAAATGCTAACTTTCTACCTTATATGTTTTCAACACTTATTTCTTTTTTCCTTTGTTATTTGCTGCTGCTGCTTAAGTAATCCAATTTCTGCCGACTAGGCACTTATTCGGTAAAGCATTGCGATCCACTCGATCAGGTTTCATCACTGTGATAGACAATGTCAAAAAATAAAAATATTTGATATATACAAATTTATATAAAATTGCCTCATTTTTAATGCTAAATATGACAAGATTATAATTTTAGGTAGTTTCCATTAAAACAAAGTATTGTGGCAATTTTTTAATTTCATTTTTAATCTTATTTTTCCAGTATCCTGTATTAATAAGTGAGAATCATGGTTTTGTGAAAATAATGTAATAGCAGATATGATGATATTGTTAGATTATTCTAAAGCATTTAATACAATTAATCACCCGCTTGTATGTGCACTAAAATTGATTAAAAATGATTTTATCAATCTTGATCAGTATTATCTGGAGACCCTCAGGGTTCAATTCTCCGACCTCCGTTATGCTCTGTTTATGTATCATATTTCTCAAAATTTTTCTTATCGTGTCTGCATCACTTTCATGTAGAGGACACTCAGATGTATCTATCATATTTATATATAATTAATAGAATTAAATCTTTACCAAACTAAAATAATGTATTAAATATAGAAGGGCGACACTTTCAAGATCAACTAAAAAAGTTACGGTTGTTAAATGGTTCAGAGTTGAGAAGAACGTCACATGTTAATGTACTTGAATTTAAAATTATTCTTTCAACCTAGATACATTTTCTGTAGGCTCCTCAGATCGTTACTTTGCGATGTTGCCTATGCTATCAGCTTAATAGCTTAAATTTTTTCTTCGCTTGATCTAAGACATTCACAAATTTCACCATGTTTGTCACACTCTATTTCAAAACAAGTCTTTAAATGTGCAAAATAACAATTGCACTGACGTCACCACAGTACCTATATAATGGAATAAGCTTTTAGACTGACGTACATAATATCAATGTGAGGTTTAGAGGTACACTACGCTCCTAGCTAACTCAATGAAAATTTTCAATTACTTATTGCGGGTCAAAAGTTCATTTCTCAAAGCAACTTTCACAGGCTACTCTAATACTATTTACAAAACTTCTGGATTCCTCTTACGTCGGTTATTGTTGAATTAAACTTGACATTTCGCCAATCATCGTCTGCCATCGCCATCATCGGGGCACTAAATCCTCCAGAGATTGAGTTTTTCTAAATAACAGTCCTATTGAAGAAGTAAATGATTATTCATATTTGGAAGTTTCAACATTCAATGCTTCTTCGTATCCATTAACATGGTTGTCTATAGTTAATGTCATTTTGATATTATTGATAGGATCGAATTTTACTTGTTCAAATATTTCCTAATGTTGCCGGAATAAACTCTGCTCTCTTGCTACCTGAGTGCGATATAGAGTCAGTCAGGTTCAGATTCCAGATTGTGAAAGTCCGTAATCTGCGTGGCACTGCGAACCAGAGGATCAGGGCTTAACTGAAACTGTTTGAACTGTGTGAAGCTTCCGTTAACATCAAAAGAAGCGAACAGGATGATTAGCGAATCATCAGCAAATTTAATTCAACAGCAACCGACAGAAGTATTGTGAATGGTGTGATAAAAATGTCACTGTTGATTAATTAATAATCTATTACTGAAAATTTTCAACATAATTTTCATATAATATAATGTAAAATAATTTTTGTGCGCAAAGTGTCATTTTACCACTACAATTTGGTGTCCCAGCCTCTCCGAACATTTCCAGGATATTACCTCACGGGTTTGGGAACAGTCGGATGTTTTCGGAGATTTTATAGCACTGTTTGATTATTGACGTCAATTCTGACGGCAATATGTCCAAATGTATCCAAAAACTAACGGTCTTAAATTATAGCATGCAGCACGTTTGGTAAACGGCATTTGAGTCACGAGAGTTATGTACAATGATTCCTACGTAATAAGGATAGGACACCGTGAGATCTACGATGTCAGCATTTGACCACGATGGTACTATGAAGAGATCGTGAGATTCATATTGTCAGCTTTTCGGATACGAACCTATAAAGTCTTAGTTTTAAGTAATATGATTATTCTTGTTGTAACTGCTGCTGCAGAAACTCTTAATTTTCGATTGTATTTTGAAAATAAAGTTTTTAAAAAGTCACCTCGTCTTCGCTTGAACATAATTCGAGTTTATTTGATATGCGAGAGTGCTTAATAAACGACGTAAGAAATACTTGTTGCGTAATGTACTATTGTTAATCAGAGAAAACCCACGATATATCAGCTAGATGTCAGCAGCTAAAAATTTCCGATTTTTTTGTCGCAATAAATGTACGTCATCTGAGTACTGTCTACAAACATGGAGTAAGTGAAATAATGCAAAGGGTTTATATAATTTGATAACTGAAATGTCAGTACTGTGGATAAATGAGTCACTATCGTGGAACAGAAGTTGTAGTCAAATCCTTTCAGGCTTTCATTTCTATAAAATTGATGAGTAATATCTATAAAAAGAATTGAAAAGTCTACTTGTAAAATATTAGAAATTTCAGTAAAAAAATCACAGGACGGAGTCGCCCAAATATGCTTTCAAGTCCAACCTGTACAAACTTTTGTTTTCAAAACAATAATTCTGTTATTTGAGTTGATGGTGTTCAACTTCATTTGAAATATCCATCAATGGGTCATATTTCTTGTTGCACCAAGTGTGGTTAACATATTCTCCGGATGCATTAAAATGCACATTTACCATTGACAAGTTATATGTTAAATCTAGTTTTATGTATACCTTCTGAGCATTTATTAATATTATTATCAACTCTAGTTGACAATACGACCATATATCCTGTCAAACTATCAAAATACAGTCAAAAATACAACTTGCCTTAACTGAGAAAAGCGCTTACCCCGTCTTGTAATTGATGAATTGAACGCCGCTCAATCTGCCGTTATGCTCAAATCGGAATCTTGCCGCTTGATTTTGGGAGGTAACCAATCCACCGTTATCGCTTATATACCAACCAGTTTGAACGTGTTGAATATAATAAGTCGGTTCATTCCAATTTTGCGGTTCGTCTAAATTAAATAAAATTGAAAAAAAAACAACTTTTCAAACATCTCATAGCTGTCTGGGGGCTCTAATTCTCTGATTCAGCGTAGCAAACATGGTTCTACCATTGTTAGTCCAATAAGAGTGATAAAGACAATACATCCGTTCTACGGTAAATGTCGCTTCCCAGTTTCTAGAATCGAGCCCTTTATACATTCAACAAAATAAATAAGAACTAAAAGTCAGCGTCTTTATCAAATGTAATATTTACAAACTACCTGCTACTATATATACCGAAAAATAAAGGAGAGATATTTAAATGTAATTGATCGTTAAGCCATACATTTGAATCTCTCATTTTGTTAATCTCCATGGCTTTCAATAAATTTAATTTTCTAATTTTTGTGGCTGTATGTAAAATATCAAAATTGTCGTCAAAAATGTGTTTTTCTGTGTTTAAGTGTGTAGCATAAGCAGTTATTGCGTTTCTTGAAAGATCTGCCTGTTTTTCCAATATAAATAATTATTAAAGTTATTAAAGGATGTTCTAGTAGCTAAGTAAAAGTTTTCTGTGGTGGTATAGACATAGACAGACAATTGAATTATTTTTTAAATTACCATTAACTCATTACATAATCGTATAAAATTTACTATCGAGATTGAACAGCATAACTCTATAAATTTTTTAGACTTGACTATTACAAAAACGCAAAGCAAATTAGATTTTTCCATTTATCATAAACCTTCACATACAGACACAGTCATACATAACAGCTCAAATCACCCTTATACACACAAAATTGCTGCATTTCACTCTTTTATACACAGACTTCTTAATACGCCACTCTCAACAGAAAATTACAACAAAGAACTTAATATCATTAAACAAATTGCACTGAACAACGGCTACAATAATAGATAAAATTATAAATAAAAAACAAATTCAGATAACATTAAACTCTATTTATCCGAAACCTAATACAGAACACGAAAAAGTTTCGAAACATTTGTCAAAATGTGGTTTAAAAATAGCTTTCAGAACAACACAATACTAAATTTTTAAAAAAACAATAAAACGAAATGTCCAAAATATCAAAAATCAGGTGTCCACAGGTTGAAATGCGGATCTTGTCCTAAAATTTATATTGGACAAACAGGTAGATCCTTCAAGAAACGCAATAACGAACATAAAAGAGCGTTTGAAAACAATAGTGTAGATTCTAATTATGCTACACACTTAAACACACAAAAGCACATTTTTGAAGACAATTTTGATATTTTACATACAGCCGCAAAAAGTAGAAATTCAAATGTATTACTTAACGATCAAGTAGATTTAAATACAACTCCTTTATTGAACTAAAATTCTCAAAACAACATTAATTAAGGTTTTATTGTCATTTTTCGGTATATAGAGTAGCAGGTAGTTTGTAAATATTACATTTGATAAAGACACCGTGTTGTCGAAACAATTGTCATGTCAATATATATAATTTCGTGGAAATCTGAACTTTTAGCACTTTAAGCCACCTCAGTTCAAGTTTATACATTCAATTTACCCAGTAGTTCGATTTAGTTTAATCATGCTTTTAAAAGTTTTAGAGAAACCATATATATAATAAAATCTTACCATAGCATTGAATATAACATGATGTGTACAGGATAGTACACAACACGTAAATAGTTTGCAAAGGTGTCATTGATTCTTTCAAATGCAAAATATCACCGGAACAACAGTTTAGCTGCAAAATATTTTACTTATCTCCTACTTTTTGTGGGCTGCCCAGAATATAAATATTTCCTGGCTCGCCAAAAGGTCATCATAATTTTTGGCTATACTGATAAAACAAATAAGCATTTGTAAAGCATTACTTTTTAACTACCATCATTAAGATTACGGTTGCACATAAGAAGGATTAAGAGCACAAAATATCATTTTAAATGCAGGTATATTGTCCTTTACGTGAATAAATAATGGTTTTACGTCAATTATGGTGCTTATTATATCATGTTTGTAATTCTGCATAGAAGTTTATAGCAAAGACCAAAATTGCTTGTTTTAGGCGGGGCACTAAATCCTCCATAAATTGACTTTTCCTAAATAACAGTCTTATTGAAGTAGTAAATGATCATTCATATTTGGAAGTTTCTTCTTAGTTTCTATTAACATGGTTGTCTGTAGTTAATGCTATTTTGATGTTATTGACAGGATATAATTTCACTGGTTCAAATATTTTCTAATGTTGAAGGAATCAACTGCTCTCTTGCTACCTGAGTGCGATATAGAGTCAGTCAGCAATCTATCTGAACTAGAGGATCAATTGTGACTCTCCCCATGGCCATACAGCGTTCGTCTCTCTGACCAGACTCCATAACTTGGATGGTGGATCCTTGGTATAATTCATTGCCTCTGGTTTGGTTGCGTCCAGCAGATGGAAACCCACTCTTGATAGGCCTTGACACTGACATAATATGTGGGTCGCTGTTTCCTCCTCTTCTTGGCAAATCTGTGAACCGATCATTTCATATAAGTTTCTTTTTATAATTGACCGTAATTTTGTACATGTCCACCTTTAAAAGTTATAGGAATAATTATTTTCTCAGAAATAGTTACTAGAAGAAATATGAAATGTTGCAATATCAAATAATTGTTGACATTATCAAAAACCTTGCGGTCATTTTGGATATGGGGTTGGTTTTTTCCGAAAACTCTTCCATAGTTTTATATTCAAACAAACATTATGTTTGCAGGAAAATGATTTTAACACTAGAGGTATATTTAGTGGTATATTAGCAACAAATACACTACATAAAGCCGGCATAGATTTTATCGAACTGATACATTTCCAGATGATTTGGATTTTTCTCAGCCAGGAACAAACGATGCTGGTTAAAATCTATTGCCACGACTTTGGCGGGGTTGCATTTGGATGAAATGGTTTTATCGCCGTTGTAGATAAACTGTTGGTTGTCAGCGTCGACGCGAAGTGGAAACAAAATGACGTTTCGCCCCGAGCATCCATTTTCAACATCAAAGCCCTTCCTAAAAAATGAACTCTATCAACTGAAATACTTGACGGGATATAATAAAGGAAGTCACCATTTTCTAAAGGATTTTTCTTTTAATTATTTATCTATTATCTATTTCATCTATTGGAGATTCTGAAACAACTTGAGAACTATGTGTTCAAATTTTGGCTACTTTTTAAGATGTAGATGTAGACAAAATAATACAAAATATTTCAATGTTATGGAACCAAGTATTAAATATTTGAAACAATTTCGCCCCAAACTATTTGAAATCGAAGTGATTATCAATTCAAAAGTGTCAAATAAAGACATTAAACTGTGCACAGTGCATACAAATTAGACTATCTCGTTTTACTTAATTGTTAAGCTCACTTTGTCGACGGGTCGAAGATCTCTACGTAGTTCAAAGTGGTACGCAAAAACGCGAACTTTGCGGCTTTTTGCTGGGACGGTACCATTTTTCCGTCGGGGTCGACGAATAATTTGGATTTGACATGTTGAATATTGAATAGGTTCTCATGGCCACTTCCGAGGTCTCCTAAAACACGATAGGACCGCTACAAGGAAAAAATTAATCTAAAATAACCCTAAATATTTCCATTTATTTTGCAAAGCCCTTGTAACACGTAACTGGAGAATCCTAGATCGGTAGCTTATTAAATCCCATATGAATTTTTTATAAAATAAACTTTAAATCAAATTATTTTAAAAATGCAGCACGAAGGTGTGCACAATTCTTAAGTTTTAGAAATACATTTTAATACTTATAGAGGTCTAAGGCTGGTTGTGCCACGGCCTAAACGGGTATTCTTTATCTATAACTAAATTTTCTATTTGCGTAGATAATGCTAGCCCAACCAGACGACTTTGCTCGATTTCTATATGTTGCAATATCAGAAAACCAGTTTTTTCTAAGTATAAGGCCGATATTAATAATGGTTGCCTATTTAGAAAAATGCAGTATGCACGGCATTTGGTACATCTGTTGCCACAAATATCGTATTTTAGGCCGTTTATGTTTGACTACTAAAAGTTGCTGCCGTTGGTAGCAACTTTGCATATTTCCGAAGACGTATTAGTACTAGAATAAATCCGGAAAAGATTTTAAGTTTTACTAATATTGTAGGATGATGTACTTTATCGAATGTTTTGGAGAAATCGGAATACACATTATCCAAGATATGTTGCGTTTCTAAGTTTAAAAAAAATGTTCCTCTGTTATGAACAGGTACCATTTTGGCACATTTGCAAATAGAAATTCAATTGGCTAAAAGCAAATTATTGTTAAATTTTATATATCACCTTCCTTAAAATGAAGGTACTTTAAACACTTAAGCAACTTAATTGAATTGAAATTGAAAATTATGCCTCTTTAGATTCTTTTTTGTAACTAACTTTTATCAAGTGCAATTGTAACTTCACTTTTTTTATGTTATTTGTTCGTCTATGAAAGACGCGTTCTTATTGTTCAATAAATATCTAGATAAAGTATAGGATAAAACGAAACATGACTTATAAAATTGTGTAAACGAACTAGGTTGGGAAAACGGCACCCACTTTCTTTGTCGGTTATAAAATCTTTTCAAGATACCTGAACTAACTAAAATTTAAATGTTATATTATAAAAATTTGTGGAAAGCGCCTTTTGGTTGCAATATTATAAATTTTGAAGTGTTATGGTATTTATTGGACATCTTACGAAACTAGTAACTCTACTGGTTTTCCTATAAAACGATTTAAACTGTGTTAATTCTCAGGTTTCTTATAATCCACTAATAACTATCCATTACCTTATAGTAAAACCTTAAACCGCGAAAAACGTCTGGTGAGTAAATTTGTATTTAGTTATCCTAAATGTGATTGGTAAACAAATTCAATTTTATCTGTTAAAATGGCATTGGTTTGGTTCAATACATAGCATTACCTTGTTTAAAAGCTAAACATGCTAAAATATATGTTATCTTAGCCTGTGTACAGCTTTAAAGAAAATTCTTATTCAAATAAAAATAATTACCCAGAGAAGATGGCAAAATTAACAACGAGGAGAGGATAACAAATTCTGTGGTTATAAAAAACATGACTTTAACAGTCGCAAGAAAAAATAGGCACTAATTTAATATGTGGAAAACTATGGCTCCTTAAATACTTGTGCAGGAATACGCATATAATTTGTTATCAGAATTTAACTTAATATTGTCAAAAGGCGACATTTTTTAAAATCGTTAGTGACTACCATAATGTAATATTATATATTAACTCATATAATAATTGGCATTCCTGCTATGGAGTTGAGTAGCTGACGTCATTCTTTTGGTAATTAGTCGTGCCTAAATACTTACACTGCTTAATTACAAAAAAAATCCAAATAGCCTCTCTTGTAAGAAAATGAAAAAAATCTCTATGGTATAAAAAATTAAACACATATTTCGAGGATTAGTCAACATTATTTAACTTGTAATTGATTGATGATCCTCGTCACAATGTAGCTAGTTTACCCCATTTCTTTTACCACTTCATACGACCATTGCACGTGTGTGTCAGTGTAAACTCAGTTTGAATCCAAATGGAACGATCTTTATCTAAGTTCCTTAGTCGATATTTTCTTGCTAGCGATTCGCCTTTTCCTTAATTTGGGCACTTACTCTAGTTAAAATTCTCGACAATAATAAACTTTCCTATGAACTAACGACTATGCCATTATGAGGTTATAATTATATCAAATCCTTGGGTTCACGAAAGTTCTAACAAGGCGATATGATTGATAATATAAAAGTAGTCTCACTTAATCTCTTAAACTTTAAAAAGATAACTTACAATTTTTTTAAAAATTAATTAAATTTTCTTTTATTTTTATTTCCACCCACGGCATTCATGTTCGATTTTGAAATAAAAATAAATTTCTTAATTTTGATATGGCTACTGTTCCAGGAAAATCTGGTAACGAAACACCAAGGATTTCAGTAGCACACTTTAAAGTCGCAATTACCTTCGTAATTACGTCAATTTTGTATATCTCTTTTTATCATATTCCAAGTGGCTGAGACAAAAAAGTTTTGAAAAAAAATAGATGGTTATGCATCTTTTATATATAGTCCGGGAGCCCTGGACCAGTAAAAAAATTAGCAAGTTGCTCATCACTTTTTATAAATAAATAATAGATACAACTTTTTCATTTTGGTATGTTAACTAAAATGACATGATTTGATACCTGCGCGTATAGTTAGCTACCTGATACAAGAATTTTCGTAGAGGAAAAGGTTGGGCACCTTGATGAAATGGAACGATTTCCAGATTTCCAAAGAATTAGCTTGTTGCTTATCATTTTGAAAAAAGGTATAGGGCTCCAGGCCTAATACCTTTACATCGCTGTTATCAACTTGTTCAAAGTTGCCTGAATGTTATCTATTATTGTCGAATATTGTATAGTGAAAATATGAGTGAATGTCAATTTGCAATCTGTAATTTGTAATAATCAGCAATCAACCGTTTTGGCAACGAGCAAGACGTCATTACAAATGGATATAATTCTGCCTGTTTGTAGGCATTGTAGTAATAATTTTAAAATTATTTATTTTTATAACATAACCGCCCTGTTTATAACTCTAAGTTTAGAGGTTTAGGAATTACGTTCATATGAAGCTGTCCAGATACAAAAGTCATCCTAAACTCCTTAATGCTTAATCCTATCGCTATTAAAGCCGAAAAAATTTGAAACATTTTTTTGACATTGACATTGAGCCGTTCATTTTGAAAGTGACTTAAGTCCATTTATCTTTAATTTGAAATACTTAAGGTTTTGCGTTTTTACAAAATTAAAAATATACATAAGATATATGGTTGATTTGCAATGTTAATTTAATTTTATACATCCTATTAAAAAGTCGTTATTATTAAGTGTATAATATGACCTTGCTTACCTTAATAGGATTTAGGTCACAATAAATAAGAACTAAAAGTTCAGATTTTCACGAAATTATATATTATGACACGACAATTGTTTCGACAACACCGTGTCTTTATCAAATTTGATAAAGACACGGTTTTGTCGAAACAATTGTCGTGTCATAATATATAATTTCGTGAAAATCTGAACTTTTAGTTCTAATTTATTTTGATAAATGGATTTTCATCAAGTAAAAGCCACCTCAGTTCGATTTAGGTCACTGTCAAAATAAAAATTTGTTTTGTTACAAAAAGTGAAAGAGCTTAAGACCGTTACATATAGCTTAAAAAAAGAGAAAAAAACATTTAAATTAGATTTTTAGTTATTCGTTAACATTCTCAGTACGCGGGAGTGATTTGAAGTAGTAGAGGTATATTGTGGGGTTCAAGATTGTCTTCTTTTAAATCCCAAAATGTGTCTCTTAAAAGGATTCTAAATAGAAAAAACCTTTACAAACAAGATCCCTAAGTGGCCATTTACAACGGATAATTAAATTGTATTCATTCATCTTAATGCTTCTTGCTCTCATTTCTTCGCTCTTCTAGGCCTTAAAACTTTGGGAATGGTAACACTTTCTGCAAATCGAATAAAAAGCCAAAATAATGAGATGGATTACTTGATACTCGCTCTTGATCTTATTTTAACGCATTTCTAGCCGATTGTGCTAGCTTCATATGAATATATATGTTCTTCGATAAGTTTTTTCTGTTCTTCATGGATTTCTGATGCTTTTACTTTAATGTTTAATAGATCACATCTTTGACATGTGTCTTTGCATGGTTGGTGGAAATGTAGATTAAAATCCTTTTTGAATATATTTTTTTAAAATTATTTTCTTCACAGTGAAGCTCATAAAAATTAAAAAAATTTATCCAGTTCAGGATAGAGATATTTTCTGTCGGGATTATGGTCCCTAGTATAATGTGATTCAAATTTCGGGAAACTGTCAATATGGTTTTAAATAATCATATTTGCTTCATCACATATTTTTCTCTACAATCCAGGCAAAGGCCCACGTAAATCGTTGCCAACGTTTTTAGATTTTAATACACGTTTCAATCGTCCTTCGCTTATTTGAAAAGTATCTAAAAAGAAATTTTACAAACAGCAACTTTGTCTGTTTTAGAATTTAACCAATACGTAAAACTTTCATTTCTACATGGTCCTATTCCGTTTCCTTGACGTCTTCATTTTGCTTATTAAAGTCTCCAAAGTTCCAAAACATTTCGAAAATACGTTTTCTCTCTATTTCATTTAAATTTTTCAAGCAGTCTTTTCAGCATTGGCAATCTTCGTTTTGAAAAACTTTGTCAGGAATAATTTTTCCCGATTGTGTATCGTATCTTTTCCCAGAATTCCGTTTAATTTTACGAATTTTATGAATATAAGTACAACTTCTGTGTTCTCTGAATCCTTCTTTGAAGGTGCTGTTTTGTAAATTCTCATTCTCAGTTCCTCTGTTGAGGAAAAATTAAATATTATATTTTAAATTTCAATTTAATATCAAAACATAATTTAAATTACCTTCATCACTCCTTTCCACATTTTGGGGCCCACTAGTTGACGTCAATAAAAAGTGACTTAAGTCACTTTCAAAATTAGGATTTTCAGAATTTATTATTTATTTATTATTTATATTATTTTGAAAATTGTACGTGATATAAAATTCTCAAATGTACTAAGTATATTTCAATACCGATTTATTTTTTGAGAGTTCACCATAAATTATAAATGTCACAAGTGCCAACTTGATAAAAGATAAAAATGGACTTAAGCCACTTTCAAAATAAACGGCTCCATTATTGTAATTTTAACTTCAAAAAAAGATCGAGTTTTTTAATAAAATTCAGTATGGCAACGACATAATATTATGTGTCATTGACAGCCTATAAAAACTTACTTCTGAATCACTTCATATGTTTTATTTAAAAAGGTAAAATGTATCCACTCTTCCATCCAGGTGAAGTGTTAGCAACGGGACACGGATGGTTGAAAATGTTCTAGATCTACAAGGGTGAGATACCCCAGCATTTGCAGCAAAAATGCTACATAACGAAAAAAAGTTTTTGTCGTGTTTAAAGTTAAAACTTTCCCAGTCCTTATAATGAATTTCTGTGCAATATTGTCCCGCCATTATTTTAAAATGTTCATTTCGCCTAAAACATCTGCTGCCCAAGCATGGAAATATTAAAAAGTACAACGTACGTACTTCATCACAGGGACGTATGAAGTGCTTACTTCGAAATGCCGAAGATTTATATAAACAAAAAATAAAATTTGCAACACATATCATCGTACAGAGTTTTTCACGCTATACGGCAAAGTAATAATAATTGCAGATGACGACGTTTCACTATTTCTTTTCTAAATTGCTCCAAAAGTATCATAATTGTGTTTTTAGAAAAATAAAACACGTTGACAAATAAGCATTTTTTTTTTTCAAATCTGAAGATGCGGAATGCTAAAATAGTGCTCCTTTGTGGGGTTCAAGATTAAGTCTTCTTTTAAATCCAAAAATGTGTCTCTTAAAAGGATTCTAAATAGAAAAAACCTTTACAAACAAGATCCCTAAGATGCCATTTACAACGGATAATTAAATTGCATTCATTGTTATTCTTCGCTCTTCTAGGCCTTAAAACATATCACAATTACAATTTCTATTGCGACAGATATATTTTTTAAATCAAGTAGAATAAAGTTCACCTGACGTTTTACCGTAACCTCGACAAATGTGTTTGCAAATTAATTTTCATAATTCAGCGATAATATTTTAAAACCATTAAGGAGTGCAAATATTATTAAGGAGCATTTGTTTGTGTCAAACGTGTTCCATAAGCCATTTATGGGCAATATCCTTAAATGATAGCGGATTAAAAATTCGAATCTAACGAATCCGACCGATAAAGCGACAATAAAAATCATCATGAAAAGTCCGAATGCGTTTTCCAATTATATCGATTTTGTCCAGATCTACACGCCTCAAGATATTTATAATGTCAATCGCTTTAGTGTTTTGTGTTCTGGTAGCTTTCGGAGCCGGTAAGTTCTTATTTAATTTATTACTGCGTAGTTGTGTTGACCATAATTTTAAATGGTAACCCAGAAACTCGATTATAACTGAAACGTACGAAAATGCAAGATAAGTAGTAAAACGATTATATTTTGCCTTTTTAATTTACGATATTTAAAAAACTATATGAATACGATGAGAAAAAATTCGTATATTTATTATTACTTTAATTAAGCTAACTGGTACACATGAGGTGGCTCACCATATTCCGGTCAATTTTTGCACGAAAAATAATCTGGGCCCATGAAGAGCATATTTCAAAATTACTTTTAAATATACAAGGTGCCCAAAAAATGTGCATGTATATATATATATATATATATATATATATATATATATATATATATATATATATATATATATATATATATATATATATAAGTATCGCTAGTTCTTATATCTAAACCTGTAACATGTAACGAGCTGCGCATAATCATATTAATAATATTAATATAGTTGACCACCACATTTTACTTTAGTTTTACTTTAGTATTATACACAGCGATAAAAAAAAATGCGCAAAAGTTTACAAACACATCTTATTAAAAAACCCAAAATTAAATTCAACATCCCGTATTTACTGGCTTGTTGTGACGCAGAATTAGGAGTCGTTTAAAGCCATATTAGTGCTTCCTGTACCCAAAACGCTTACTTGTCTCAAAAATGTATCATACAGCACCCTACTATTTTTTCAGTAATAGTAGGCGTTGACCTAGGTGACACTAATTATTTTTTGGAAACAAAAATTTGACAGTGACACAAAATTCTAGTCGTTGCCAACGATTGTTGCATTTTAATTAGGTAAAATGTGAAATTACCCTCAGGAAGAACGAATTGGTAAAATTTTGGTAATCGGTGTGAAGAAAACTATTAGCGTTCATTGGAAAAGTAATTTACCTTCATTGAGCATATAGTAATTAAAGACTTAAAAAAATATGTTGAATGTTGCGTAAGAAAAAATATAAATTCGATATGTACCTCTTTTGAGTAACTCTGCATATTTCAAAACAAACTTCATCGACCCACATAATACCGTGCGAAAAGAGCGATTGATGCCGGCCAACTCGAATGTCCATATCATCACATCTGTTTTAACATAGCTAACGATGTTTAAAAAAAAATATTATAAAGCAATCGAAAAAAATATGATATATAATACGCATTGTTTTAGCTGACCACATTATGATGGCAGACGGGTCACCACTGGAGATAGAGGTAAAATCAATTCATAATAAACTGCTCTTTACTTATTGTCCGGTATTAATATCGAACACCATATTTTTCGAACTGTTACCCTAGTTGTATCCATTCGCTTAGCTGAAGTTAGGGGCCATATAAAAATCGCTGGCTTTATACGTAAGATAATACGAGTTCATTTGTAATATAATTTTAAAAAACCATGTTGATCAATTTTATTGAGAAGAAATTCATCGCTCCTTCAAATTGTTCAAAATTGAAGTTTTTCCTCCAAACACTTATTTTAACTACTGCTTTATACCAAACAAATTCAGAAGAAATATGGAGTTTTCCAATGGCCCATAAAAGATAACTAATAGAAATGGATTTTTCTTATTATTGGTATATTTGATATTATTTAGGACTCCATATAACTATGTTCTGCGAGGACAAAGGCAGGATACATGATTAAGGTAGCATTTATTGCCCCAATAAACCATATCTAATCTATTGTTATTATAATTCAACGGAAAATATAAATAATACGAAAATAATGTGTATCCAAAATTTCTCTGCAATTATTAAATCTGTATATAGGTTTAATATTATACTAATTAAATTCTACAATTCTAGTAGTCGGGTGGATATATCCGAAACATATTCGAAAAGTAAAACGAAACAAAATTCCTTGATGAAATAAAATATATTTTACCAATGAGTTTAAATCGATAAAACACTTTAAAGAATAAATGACTTACTTTTCCATTTTGCTTACGTCTGTAGTGAATTTAAAATTTATCGACACATATTGGAAAAGTAAAACGAAACAAAATTGCTTGATGAAATAAAGTATATTTTGCCAATAAGTTTAAATCGATAAAAACACTTTATAAAATAAATGACTTACTTTTCCACTTTGCTTACCTTTGTAGCGAATTTAAAATTTGTCGACACATATTGGAAAAGTAAAACGAAACAAAATTGCTTGATGAAATAATATATATTTTAAAAATGAGTTTAAATCAATAAAAACACTTTAATGAATAAATGACTTACTTTTCCATTTTGCTTACGTTTGTAGCGAATTTAAAATTTATCGACACATATTGGAAAAGTAAAATGAAAAAAAATTGCTTGATTGCTTTATCACGTCAGTTTCGTTTCCGGACATTTCCGGGATTTTACCGCAGGGATTTGGGAGCAATCGGATGTCTTCGGTGATATTTCCCACGCTTTGAATTTTAAAGTTTGTCAATTCTGACGGTCATGTCAGTGAATGTATATGTGTTGTTTTGCGAAAATATACCCAAAAACTAACCGTCGTAGAAAAAATATAGTATGCAACACGTTCGGTAAACTTTTTAACTGACTCGCCGTTTACCGCACTTGTTGCTATTACCAATGAGTTTAAGTTGATAAAAACACTCTACAGAGTAAATGACTTACTTTTCCATGTTGCTTATGTTTGCAGCGAATGTGAAATTTATCGACACATATTGGAAAAGTGAAACGAAACAAAATTATTCGATGAAACAAAATATGTTTTACCAATGAGTTTAAATCGATAAAAACACTTTACACTAGAAATGACTTACTTTTCCACTTTACTTACATTTGTAGCGAATTTAAAATGTATCGACACACATTGGAAAAGTAAAACGAAACAAAACTGTTTGATGAAACAAAATATATTTTACCAATGAGTATAAATCGATATAAAGATTTTACAGAAGAAATGACTAACTTTTCCACTTTGCTTACGTTTGAAGCGAATTTAAAATTTATTGATAAATGTTGGAAAAGTAAAATGAAAAAAATTATTTCATAAAACAAAATATATTTTATCAATGAGTATAAAGCAAAAAACACTTTACAGGAGAAATGACTTACTTTCCCACTTTGCTTACGTTTGCTGTGAATTTAAAACTTAATGACACATATTGGAAAGGTAAAACGAAAGAAAATTGTTTGATGAAACAAAATATATTTTACCAATGTGTATAAATCGATATAAACAATTTACAGAAGAAATTATTTACTTTCCCACTTTGCCTACGTTTGTAGCGAATTTAAAATTTATCGACACATATTGGAAAAGTATAACGTAACAAAATTGATTGATGAAACAAAATATATTTTACCAATGAGTTTAAATCTATAAAAACACTTTACAGGAGAAATGACTTACTTTTCCACTTTGCTTACGTTTGTAGCGAATTTCAAATTTATTGATATATTGGGAAAGTAAAACGAAACAAAAATGCTTGATGAAATGAAATATATTTTACCAATGAGTATAAATCGATATAAAAAGTTTAACAGAAGAAATTATTAACTTTCCCACTTTGCTTACGTTTGAAGAGAATTTAAAGTTTATTGACGCATATTGGAAAAGTAAAACCAAAAAAAATTGTTTGATGAAACAAAATATATTTTACAGGAGAGATGACTTACTTTTACACTTTCCTTATGTTTGTAGTGAATTTAAAACTTATTGACACATATTGGAAAGGTAAAACGAAATAAAATTAAACCAAATAAATAAGTGCTAAAAGTTCAGATTTCCACGAAATTATATATATTCACATGACAATTGTTTCGAGAACACCGTGTCTTTATCAAATGTCGATCAAATGACTTCTGATAAAGACACGGTGTTGTCCAAACAATTGTTATGTGAATATATATAATTTCGTGAAAATCCGAACTTTTAGGTCTTATTTATTTTGTTAAATGGATTTTAATCAAGTAAAAGCCACCTCAGTTCAATTTTAGAAAGAAAATGGGATGATTAAACAAACTATATTTAACCAATGGTTATAAATCGATATAAACACTATACAGAAGAAATGACTTACTTTTCCACTTTGCTTACGTGTGTAGGAATTTACATACTTACAGCTCCAACGATTTATATATCTCCCCACACAACTATAACATTTAACAATCGTAGTCAAAACTGTTTCATTTAATGGGATAACATTTTGAAAGAATGAAAATTTTTATATCAGTCCTACAAAAAGTCCTTCCACCATCCCAAAAGTCATCTTTCAAATATCGAATGAAACTAATTCTGACAGTATAAGTTTTCTGTGTTGTAGGACGGACAGAATTTGACCCAAGCCGCCACCGTATTAAGCGAGTACGATCCTTTGCAAATTTGCAACCAATTTCCGGAGCGTATGTTCAGAACACAGTTTCACATCAGATGTGACGTGTTCGTATTTTGCGTTTTCGGAAGTGTTTTTATAATGGAATGTCCAAAAAATTTTTATTTTGATGGTTTTGTCGGTCAATGTGTCACCGACAATTCTGTATGCCGATAACAAGTAGAATGTTATTTGCTCTGACAATTGTTATTATAATATTTCCCGATTAGGATCAGTTGGGGAAGTCTTATAAGTAAGGTATGCTGAATTTAATAAATTTTTAATAAATTCAAACCGAGTTTTTTAATATTCATATACTTACTTTCGTTAATACCAAAACAGGCAAATGTGATAGTGATAGTGATTTCATGCTAATTATGCAAAAACATTCTTTAAAAAAACAGATACATCTTAAATTAATTTTCTGAGAATTTCTGACAGCGACAGTATTCAAGATAGCTTAATTAGATACTGGCAAATGAATAATTGAATCAGAAACTTTGAGGTTGCCAATTGCCAATCGAATCACACATATTCGGCTTAGGTACATAGTCGAAGTTTTAAGAGGACATGATCTTTCCTACTGCAGGACATGGTGACGGTGATATTCATAATTGAGTTTCCTCCCATCTTTGAAGATGCTAGTTACACAGAAAAAAAGAGGGGAAACAAGTTTGAAGTTTTTTTTACAAAACTGCTGGATTCCTTCTGCATCGGTTTTTGTTGAGTCGAAATTGCTGACGTTTCGCCAATCATCCTGTTGGCTTCTTCAGAGCTTGACCGAAACAGTTTCGGTTAAGCTCTGAAGAAGTAAAAATTTAACATGGTCTTTTGAAAAACTGATGGCACGCGACTCGCGTAAATTAGAGGTTAAGTTGGTACTTTTGAAAAATTACGTTATGGATGTACCCAGAATAGCAATCTATACTTATTCATACAAAGTTTTCTCAGTTCAACTCATTATTCACAAAGAAATATGATGCAGCTTTATATCTCAGAACCAAAGCTGGTTAGAAACAGTGATTTGGTTTCCAAATTCTACTCATTCACCTCTTTCTGGAGAAAGAATGCCCCCCGTTTTTACTAGTTCCGGCAAAAAATCTTAAACGGCGTAAAACTATTAGCTTAAGAACAACAGTAAGTACTTCAGAACTAATGTATGCTGCTCAGATGAATCTCAGGAAGGAAGGCACTGTAGTAGATACTGCTGCAGTTGTAAGAGAATCCCAAACCAGTACACCAAATAGAACTATGGAGTACACAAAATAGAAGCCTGTTGTTCAACTCACTGATGAATATGAATTGTCACTATTTTTGGTGGGCAATTTCATAATGCGGAATATCGGTTAGTTCCGGAAGCGGACAAAAATAAATTTCCTTTTTACAAAAAGATTCAAGGAGCGAAGAAACTTTGTTATCCCAACGATCTTGACATAACTGAAATATCAGCTGAAGTGAAATTTCAAGCTCAATTGAGCCACTCAGCAGAGCGTCTGATCCAGTTGCAGAATGAAGTCTTGGAAACGTTTACATTGACTATATCAAACTGGGACTGCGATGGAAGTTTGGGACATGACAGGTACAAACAATGTTGTGAAAATTCGGACAATTCTGTCAGCCCATAGCAAAAGCTAGAAGCTAAATTTATCATTGCACAAGTTTGTCAACACATATTACTAATTATAATGTAATAAATAAAAACAAAGGCACAATTGTTAATAAAACAGTGTACGTATCATAATGTATTAATTGATAGTAATGTTAACTGCAGAATTACATCTAGGGATAGTTTTAAAATCTATATTCACATATTTCACTCACGCCTTAATGTTCTAAATTGTCAAGTTTTGGTCAGTTGTGTGAATTCAGAAATATTGACCCGTAGTACCCCTAGTACTACTTAAACGATACAAACAACGGAACATCGAACGTTACTAATATCTGAAGATAAAATTAATTTAATAGTTATATTTTTACCTGTATTATGAGACAATTGCAAATACTGTTTCTACGTACTTAAAATTTAAAAAACTGCTTGAAATGAGATCAATCAACTTTGGTTAGTTAGACATAACATTCCAGAAAATTTAACACGTCAGAGGGCATTAGGAGGACAGTGGAGTTAATTGGCATTCCAAAGTCAACCTGAAGTCCATTCCTTGATATTGATTCACTAGGAAGCAACGAACGATGTGACAAAGGCATAATGAAAGTGTTTAGGTATCTTGATGCAAAGTGCATTCTCGAGGAAGCGTATGAGAGTAATAATTCCGTCACTTCAATTGCAACAGAAACAGGAACATTAAAAAAATGGTCGATTTACTGGGAATCGTGATTTATGCATAATAGTTAACTCAAATTCTTTACTTAAGAACTGTTTACCCTTGTGAAATCTTGGTCTATTTATTGTTTTAGATGATATTTTTTTTGTTGAATAGATCTCTGAAATATGCACTAAAACCTTGTTTTGCTTATTGCATCAACTTAAAGTCATTGTCAACTGGAACTATTTAACAAAAGAGAGAAATATACATCATTGTAAAATCTTTGCTTACGGTTTGATTTTGAGAATTTTTTTCTGCATAGATTTCCCAAAAAAACACTATAATCTAATGTTATAACATCAACCTGAAGCCATGACCAATTGGGACTAAATTTTTGATGTCAAATATCGGGAAGGACAATTGGGGATTTCTTTAAGAAGTGTCAACGAATTCTTATTCAGAACTACGCAAAACCTAACTATACTATTTTCCATAAAGTTCGCATAAACCTTACTCCCGTAGAATGTTTGTCTATTGCTCAATTTTGATAATTCCTTTCTGCTGAATAGATCTTAGTAAACAGAAATAAAACGATTTTTTCATATAGTATCGACTTAAACTCCCTCAGTTTTTTGAAGCGAGAAGTACTTTAGAGATTTTTTCAAATAAAATGACAACAGATTATTATTATCAGTATTCAAGATTACTTAAAAGTAACTAGAGCAATGACCAAAGTTTTCAATGTTTAAAAAGAAACTGTAAATCTTGTAAATAACGATTTGTGTATGTGATTTTAATATATTACAAATTTTAATTAAGCAACACGTTTCAAAAATGACAAAAAACACTTTTTAAGGTGCACTTATTTTTTAGTATCATCTTAAAACAACAGCATTAACAAATCTTAGTATTCTAAATGTACAATGTAAACAAAATTGAAATATAAATTAGCGAGTGAATTTGACAGCCGAACATTCGGCTCTCCGTGGCAAACATTGTTTTACAAAGGAAACAGTGTTCCGACCTCAACCAATTTTGATATTTCTGTTTTTGTCATCATTAGATGAGAATTAACAATCCTCTTGAATTAAAAAAATAGAGCGTTGTAAAGTCTGTTTAGTTCATATTTAATCCTCTCTAATATTGAATTAAAAAAAATCATTCGTGTCTTGCAGTGAAATCTATCCAACAAAAAAAGAATGATCAAACTAGTAAAGTTAAGTTTTATGTAGTCCTGAATAAGAATTGGTTGACACTTCTTAAAGAAATTACTAATAGCCATTGTCGATATTTGACATCGAAATTTAGTCCCAGTTAGCCATGACTTCAGGTTGTTGTAATAAGAAACATCATCTAAAAAAAAAAGAAAATCCAACCGAAAACAAAGATTTTACAAGGGTGTACAGTTCTTAAGTGGGACACTATATAATTGCAATTTTACACCACATTAACAGCATTAGTTCAGTCGTAACAATTTATCGAGCATCGTTTTGAAATAGTCTTTGGTAAGATAAGATTATGTAACGCAAATTTAGCCTAAGGAAACCGCGAAGAATTGTTCCGGTACATACGTGGCAATTATTTCAAAAACAGAGGCGGCCGATTTTCCAAAACGATTCAGTGTTAACATTGTCCAGTCGAAAAGCCAATCAAACAGAACAATCGTCGCTCGAATTATGTGGATCTTTTGCATTATAACGGTTGAATTGTGTTCTCTGTTTGCCCATCGATGGACACAAGTCCCCTTCAATAGGCAAATTCATAGAAATTACATTAACAATCACATTATTATTTGCACATCTGATTGTACTCGCCTGCGCGACCGGGTAACAGCCCTTTGTGATTACACGGAATTTCGTTTTTGCAGCCCGTTTTACGTGCCCGAGACGGGCGAAAATTGTCCAAATTATACGGAATTCCGTAGTTTGCCCAAAAAGGCATTTACATAAACGGATTGGAATATCGGCGCAAATCATTTTTAAAACCGATACGGTTTTGTTTTATTATCTGTCCCCGTTTGGAAAATTTGAATAATTTCATCCAAACGCATCGTTCTAGCATCTCGCTTAAAAACCAGGCCGTAGTTATACAGCTGCTATTAAATCAAAAGGTCTTGAACCTGCGGATTTTATATTTTGGATAATATTCAAAGATTATTATTACGTACACACACTAATATTTGTTCGGAATTGAATCCAATTTTTAGGAAATCTTATTATATAGCTTCTTATAGACTGTGTAAAAAATAAATAAAAACAAATCACCAACAAAAACTAAAAATTAAATAATAACAAACCCATTTTTAAAACTTTTTATAAAGAGCAATAAATAATCTGAGGTCTCTTATCAATTTTGTTACTGCTAAGCTAGTGGCTACCACGATGTACCTAGTTAACTCATCTTTTAAAGGAGATGAATTTGCCCAGGCACTAAAAAAGTAAGTTACGGTCACAATTCACGAGAGGAAACACAGACATTTGATGTTTAATTCTAATTTGTTCTTTAAATCAATTAATGTGTCCAAATCACCTTGGAAAATCATTAAAAGAAATTCTCGAACTTCAGAGTGTAACAAAAAGCAACCTGCTTAGTGAAAATTTTATTAGCTTTTTTTAGAAACTGTAAAAAAATAATAAAAATAAATCACCAACAAAATCTAAAAACAAAATAATAACAAAACCATTTTTAAACAACAAATAATCTAAGGTCATTTTTTCTGCTAGTAAAAAGCATTCGGCTGGCGAAGATAGAATTCCGTGCTCTCTTATCAAGTTTGTTACTGCTAACCTAGTGGTACCCACGATGTACCTAGTTAACTTATGTTTTAAACAAGATAAATGCACTAAAAAACTCAGTTATAGTAGCACTTCACGAAAGGGGAGACAGACATTTGATGTTTAATTCTAATTTGTTCGGTAGATCAATTAATGTATCGGAATTACCTTGGAAAATCATTTAAAAAAATTCTCGAACTTCAGAGCGTAACAAAAAACAAG